TTCCCCATACTGATGTTCGGTTTGAACTGCAGGAGATTGTCTTGACCATGTCTACATGCCTAAATGCACTGAGTTGCCGCCATGTGATTGGCTGAATAGAAATTAAATGTTAACGAGCAGTTGGACAGGTGTACCTAATAAAGTGGCCAGTGAGTGTATATATATATCAATTGCATCTTTAAATAAGGCTGCTTATCTTGTTTTCTTGGTATCCAGTTTTGGAATCAACCACGATGGATTTGAGAACTCCTGCAGCAGGAGTGGCTTTATGATGGCCTCTGATGGAGGCTACAATAGTGTGGACCTGACCTGGTCCCCCTGCAGCAGGCAGCAGCTTCTTACGTTTTTCAGGTGGGTCAACCTGCCAAGATCCCACAGATCTGATCCTGGTAAATTTGTCTTCCATCCAGAAGTATAGCTGAATAACCTGTTGGTGGAACTGATTTCTTCATTTTTTATGTTAAATATAATGAAATATTAATAAAACATACTTTATTTGGGGGAGGGTAAATCCTATATTTTTGGTGTTTCCAGTGAAGGGAAAGCAGAGTGTGTTAAAGATTTGCCTACACTGAGTGGCTCCCTGCAGGATTGGAAACCTGGCCTGTATTATGGTGTTGATGACCAGTGTCGTATAGCTTTTGGCAGCACTGCGAGAGCCTGCTCCTTTACCAATCCTGACTTGGTACGTTATCTGGCAGCACCATGGCTCCATAACGCCAGGTGGTGTTTCACATCAGCCAACTCTTCAGGCAAATGTACTTGCTGGTTCATGTTTACTGTGTTAGTCTGGTTTTCCATCAGGCGGCTTGTCGTGTTCTATCCTGTCACGTTGAACCTGACGATGACAGTTCCTGCAAACGCCTCCTGGTTCCTCTGCTGGATGGGACAGAGTGCGCTCCTGATCAGGTGCTGCTTTCAGCGAGTAAATTTCCTTGGGTTAGGCTTAGATTTCACAGGGAAATAGTCCACCCAAACATCTTCCTCGTCCTGCCTTTTAGTGGTGTCTGAAGGGTCGCTGTGTGTCTCCACATGATTTTGGCTCCTCTGTTGTTGTCAACGGCTCCTGGTCCACGTGGTCCGAGTTCTCCTCCTGCTCGCGGACATGTGGCGGAGGGGTCACGCTCCGCACACGTCAATGCAACAACCCAAGGTAGTGGAACCTAAACAAGCACTGAGGCCTTCTTCACAATGCTGATTTTGTCCAAAAACATTTACAAAAAAAACCCATTTGATATGTCTTTTCAGACCTGCTTTTGGAGGGAAGGACTGTGAAGGTCCAGATATTGAGGCCGAACTTTGTCACCAGCAGGCAGGTTCTTACTGGTTCTGTTTACAGTTAGCCATCATACTGAGGCAATACAACCCACTTAATGGGCAAATAATTTGGAACAGAACACCCAGAAATGATTTAAAGCCAGAGCTTGAGGCAAAATTTGGCTCCATTTTAAATTCATTTTACAGCCCCAAACAACTGCATCATAATGAGCCCAATGTTTGTTTTGTTTTCAATCTGCCTTTTTTTTCCTTCCCTAATTGCTGTAGCCTTGTGAGTGCACCCAGCTGGACTTTATGGCAGAGCAGTGTTCCCAAACCAATCTCTACCCCCTCTACCTTCAATCAACCACCGCCTCTTTCTACAAATGGATCCCTGCTCTTGGTTTTGCAAAAGGTAAAATTAAAGAGAGAGGAGGAAAATAAAGAAAAATAAAGTCTATAAAACACTTTTTTTGTTATGACCAGGGGATGAGCAGTGCAGATATATGTGCCAGTCAGATGGAGAAAACTTCATAGTGAGCCGTGGCTCTCACTTTGTGGATGGGACTCGCTGTGAGTCAGAGAGTCCTCTTCCTTTTGGCGCAACAGCTGCTTGTCTGCAAGGCAGATGTCAGGTAAAAAAAATAAAACAAAATCCTAACGAAGAAAGTTCACCTCAACTCTTTTTAAGGCTGTTTATGCTGAGTCTTTTGTCTGTGATCAGCTGTTTGGCTGTGATGGAGTGCTGCACTCTGGGAAAGTGCAGGATGTTTGCGGGGTGTGTGACGGCGACGGGTCGACCTGCAGTTTAACATGCGGCTCCTACAGTGGTGGTCAGGCCAAAGGTGACACAGAATTTGATAACTCACTGCTGCTCTAGGTCAAAGAGGCAGCAAATTGAATGCAGTTGGACTGCAGACTGTTAGTAAAGGAAATATATATATATATATATATATATCTTCTCTTTTCAAAACCAGAGTACAGCACTTTCCTCACACTGCCAGTGAATGCAACACAGGTCCACATCGTCAACATGGCTCCTCTCTTCACTCATTTGGGTAACTGACATCACTACATTAAGAGATTTACATTCCTAAAACACTGCCTTAAACAAATGTGTAAAAGCAAAGTCTGTTTTGTGTTTGCAGCTGTGATGGTTGGGGGTCAGTACATCGTGTCAGGAACAGGCAGCATGGCTTTGAATGTCACCCATCCCTCCCCGCTGGATGAAAACCATCTGGAGTACCGCCTCCACCTGACCCCCGACCTTTTACCTGAGATGGAAGAGGTGATGGCGCATGGACCTCTGAAAAAGGAGATAAATATACAGGTCAGGAGAGGAAAACACAATCAGAACTGAAGTCACAGGATGTGGTTTTTCCTTCCATCCACTTTCATTACCTGCTTTTCCACGCAGGGTCACTAAGGGAGCTGATGCTTATAAAACAATGTACATTAAAGAAAACAGTTCACCAAAAATAGAACGCAAATCTCTTATTTTCAACATTTAGTCATTGCAATATTTTCGCCAATTGCAGATCTATCGCAAATATGGAAAGGAGTACGGTGAAAAAACAAATCCAAACATCAGCTACTGGTTTTATGTACCTGCCAGAAACAGGAGCTCGGTAGATGTTATACCTGACGGCAAATGGGCTGTTTTCACAACGCCATGCTCCGTCTCTTGTGGATCAGGTAAATAATGAATGCATAACGAACTCTAAAAGGAAGACTATTCAAAAGTAAAGCAACTTTATGTTTTGGGATGTAAGGAAAGCGCTAATTATAATTACACAAAAAACTCCTTAATTCCCTTTGACTTTCATTTTAGTTTGAAATATTTTGTCTATGTTATTTAATGATTTTTTCCAACATGTTCCTTAAACAGATTTTTTTCTGATTTTTCTTACATTTAAAGCCATTTTACATTGTTTCAGTTAAATAAAAAAAAGCTGAAGACTACAGCACATGAAGCTTAAAAATGTCAACATACTTTTATTAATGATGCACTTACAAAAGTGTGGTTTGCCATTTGGAGCCCTAAGATATAAGGTTTGTATGTTTTAATAGAGAAAAGGATGAAATACCTTGGGTTCATTCATACAAAAAAAAAATAGAATTAAAACAATGTCACTTTTTTGTTATTGTTGTTTAAATAAGATTTTTTCCATACTGTCTAAATCTTTTATTTGGAATGTTATAATACTGTGTGATCAATTGCAAGTGTCATTAGAAACTCACAGTGAGTTTACTTTCTTATTTTTTCCCTCTTATTTTGTAAATTCATATAGAGCTTACAAGTGTGCCGTTTTTGTCTTGAAGATGTCTCCTTCCTTTTATTTATTTATTTATTTATTTATTTATTTATTTATTTATTGTCATTATAGGTGTACAGAAGCACGTGTTTGTCTGTGTAGACAAAAATACCAACAGCCATTTGCAGGAGCATCACTGTAAAGCCCCTCGTCCAACTGCACCCCTCCACACAACGTGTCAGCTTACAGCCTGTCCCCCCAGGTTACTTTCAGCTCTGGTTTTTTTTTTTCCGTTCCCCACAGTCACACTCAGCAGAAATGAATATGCATAAATAATTTACTGTGTTGCAGGTGGGATGCAGGAAATTTCGGAGCTTGTAGCACCTCCTGCGGAGGGGGAGTTCGGGTGCGTCCTGTACGATGTGTTCAAAAACACAGATCAGATTTGGTAACGGTTCCAGAGTCTGAATGTTCCTCTGATACTGCGCCACACTCTGCTGAACAGTGTAACCTGCACCACTGTCCTGCCAGGTGTGTCCTACAGTATTAAATGTGCTCATTAGATGGCCTGAAATTACGTGCATTTCATCCAGGGGATTTGTGGTGTTATATTCTGCAGCCTCAAAGTGAGTCTTAAGCAGAAAGCCACTTTTGTTTGCTCGCAGATGGCGCGTGTCAGAGCCAGGGAACTGTTCTGCGGTGTGTGGGCCAGGAGAGGCGAAACGCGATGTGTCGTGTGTTCGGCAGGAAGATGGTCAGGACAATGAAGTGGATCAAAGCTTGTGTTCGAAGTGGATCAAACCAGATGATTTTGTGCCATGTGTGGTAGACGTCTGCCCAGTTGGGTGGGAATCTAAGGGGGAGGTAAAGCGCAAAAATAAATATACGATACAGTAATTTCTAAACGTTAGTCCTGTCTAACTACACTCTTTTAATTAGGGCCTGCCTGTCTTGAAGCCCGGTTTGTTACCACGCTCCAGTCAGCCTCATGTGTACGTGTGGAGTCCTGTTGTCAGCCAGTGTTCAAAGACTTGTGGCAACGGTAAGTTTCACAACATCCTCATCCCCACTTCAGAAAGAACACCTTTGTTTTAAATTTAGTAACTCAAAATGCTCATGCATGGAAGGAACCCTGCAGGTGTGGTTTTCCTGTGTGGATCATGAGAGCAGACTTGGGGTTCCTGACTTTAACTGTGACGCTTCTACCAAACCTGATCTTCAGACGGAGATCTGTGGCACTTCTTCATGCCCTGCAATGTAAGAAAAGAAGAATGAGATGCATTTTCCTATTTTGTTTCTAGAGAGTGGTTCTAAACCTGGAGAGTGCCATAACCTTGTCTGCTCAGTGACTGTGAAATTATCAATTTATTTTTTGTATATATGAGTCCACCAAACAAGTTCATTTGAACTCTGTATAACTCAATTATTCTTCTCTCACCCACTCCCAAATAAAAGTTTGTAACTACTGACTAGGCCTGTCACAAGAACAATTTTTGCTGGGCAATAAATCCTCAGAAATTCTTACAATAAACAGTGATATTAAGACCATTTTAAACTAATATAATTATACCCGAAGCTTATGGAACTATGTAAAAACTGTTCACAAGAATTCACTCCTCTCTGAGCTGAGCAAAAAAGAGGGAGACATAAAGAAAACAAACAAGCAGGCAAATTAAAAATATCGACTTCATTTTTAATTTATCCTGCAATTAATTGATTTATTGTTTATTGCGACAGGCCCACTGTTGACTCTTTCGTTAAAGGTTGAATGGGTTTTTGGGAAGGGTTGGGGGATGACGGGGCATGGCTTGGCTTGGGAGTAAAAAAAAGTGGGGCTTTGGGGAAAATAGGCGGTGAACCACTGATATAGATAACCTATCTGCCTAAAGAGAAAGGCATGTTGATCAGAATCTAGCTTTGCAACTTGCACTTGTATGATATGTTTCATAACAACCAGATGGCGCTCTAAGCAAGGAATCTGCAGCGTGTCATGTGGAGGAGGGGTGGCAAACCTGGTGCAGTACTGTGCCAGAGAGGTAGAGGGAGAGGAGGTAGTGGTGGATGACTCCAACTGCAGCAACTTTCCCAAACCCGCCGCCGTGGTTTCCTGCAATACTCACAACTGCCCTGCAAGGTAAATCTCCCACAAGCACACACACACCTGAGATCAAAGGAAGGACACGTCTCACCACCTGTGTCACCTGCCCAGATGGAAGGTTGTCAAGATATCACCCTGCTCTGTCTCCTGTGACCTGGGCATAGCTGAGAGGAATGTGTCCTGTGTCCAGTTTATCCACGGCAGGGAGAGCGTGGTGTCGGAGGATCGCTGCCGTGTGGTTGTCAAACCAGCCACCGCCGTACCCTGCCTGGTGAAAGTCTGCACCTACAGGTGGGAGGTGAAGCCGTGGAGCCAGGTACATTCAACAGGATTTGGAAATTAAGATCTGTTTGAATAAAAGCAAAAAACACCATCCGGGGTAAAATAAACCAGGTTCAACCTTCTCAAGGACATACTGGTCTATTCAAATATTAATAGTGTCAACAGTATGACCCATGTTCCTTAGCACGATTCTGTTTACGCTCCGACCTGCACTCACCTCTCACGTTGTGTGTTCAGTGTTCAGTACCCTGTGGATATGGTATCCAGTCAAGAACCGTCTCCTGCATGGGCCCCTCCAAGCCAGAGCCCCTCAGCCCCCTGTTTTGTATACACATGCCTAAACCAATCACCATTCAGGGCTGCTACAGAGACAGCTGCAGAGATGTGACCACTGACAGCACCGCTGCAAAAACAAACCTCACAGAGACCCCGCTCCCACCTCCAACTCTGGGCCATAAAGATGCACCACATACGGGCGGCACTCTTCCAAGCCCAACAGTGGTCGTAGCCACTCAAACGAGCACCGCTCCTACCCCGACCCCTAAACCCAGTCAGTCCACGTAATGACTGTTTGATAACTCATTAGCTGAAGATATAACATCGATCTAATCCCAGTTAATCTGCTTTTCCAGGTGTTTGCGGACAGCTCCTTCTGGAAGAATCAGGCACCGTAGATTTGAAAGACGTAAAGAGCCGATGCACCATATCCATTGGTCGACCGCTCGATGAGGTCATCCACATTAAAGTCCTATCCAGCTCCTTGAGCTGCAGAAAAAGTATGCCACCATCGAAACATCTCCCAAGAACTTGGCAGCTAAACAGACATTTCTAACTGTGCATGTGTCATTGCAGAGGAGTATGTGGCGTTCTTCGATCGTCTTGCTTTCCTGAGGAAATGTGCACAGCTATCGGGTAGCGAGCTCACCACCAGAACCAATGTTGTGCTTGTGCGACAGAATCTGTTCACTCCTGGGAGAGGGGTTGTGTTTACCTACAGTTCACAGAAGAACGTGAAGAGGAGCCACCATCAGGGTACGACAGCTTGGTTGGGCTTTCTAACCAACTTTACAATGTGAGGTTTAAAGTGACGGCACATTGGAATCCAAAAGTGAAAGAAGTCGATGGAACTGTCACAGCAAACAGAAAATCACCGCAAATAGTGCAAACAAGTTAAAAAAATATTTCACAGCTAGACAGACACAGTTCTAATTTTTTATATATATTGGCCTTGACTTAAACTTGCAGATGCACTGTGCTGTATACGTTGTTTTCCTCCCCCACACCACCACCCTGCTGGTGAGAAGCAGCTTAATCCCAGGCATTAACACAGCAAAGTGTATTACAGCCTGAAGATTACCCCAGCACAAAATCTGCTGCTGAGAAAGTCCTGCATTTTCCATTTCCCACATATGTGACTGCATTCGACTTGACTCTACAAGTGATATTTTGCCAAGCGGTGATATAACATTCCTAACATTTTGCCCCCGACAGATTGCGACATTCAGCTATTTTCCCCCAGCGGCGTTTTTGAGAATCCGTTAACATCGAACGCTAACCACACCTGCCGAGTGCTCATCACCGCCCCTCCCTCGGTGAAGATCAGAATCCAAGCTCTGCACATAGGATTAGTATTCAACGCAACCAACTCACAGTCTACATACATCATGGTGCGTGCAAGCTTTGCAACACATTTCAGTGCACTGCCGTCGGGGGTGGGGAGGTGTTTGTACATGGAATAACTGTTGCATTATTTCCATTTTTCCTTGTTCAGATTCAGGATATGGATGTCTTAAAGACCACTGTGTTTAACGGCCAGCAGCTGTTCTTGTGGCACTCCTCTGGAAACATGGCTGGGGTGGAATTTCACGGCGACTACCTGCACACCAAAGGCACCTTCAGAGCTGAATATTCTTTTATGCCTCTTTGATTCTGCACATAAACTATGAGTCAGCTGTTTGTACCAGAGTGTATTGTTTCTTTAATTTTACAATGCTTAAAATGTACTTTTATTATATTCTGTAAAAAAAAAAGATAATCTGTTCAATAATTTAAAACCCTACACCATGGGTTTGATGTTTTCTCCTGAAATAAATTACATACATAAACCAAGGCACTCAAAATATGTTTGTCAAGAATAGGGTGCTTGAAAAACTGCTTAAAGTCACAGTTCTAATCTTTTGAAATGAGGTTCTGTGGAAAGGTTTGAACAAACAGTTTGAGTGACTTCCCTTTGGAGAAATACAGTTTAATTCTGGCCAGAATTACAAGCTAAAGGCTAACCTGGGTGGGACCAAAACCAAAACAACTTCAGTTTCAAAGGTTTCTTTTAAGTGTGCCCTACTTCGTAAGCTTGTGTGTAAATATCAATTTTGCTGACATGGTTATTTGAAAGCACAAACGGTGGTAGTAGCAGCTAGCTGTTGCAGTTCAAATGTGACCTGATGCAGCAGAAATAAATATGTTTGATGGAATATGCATGTAAAGCAAAACTAAGTGAGGTGTAAAGGTTTTTAAAATAGAATTATATAAACCACTATGAATTGTCTGAAATTGGATTTGCAGACTTTACCAGCAGCATTTTGGATTTAGCCCTGCTCTAACTAGCCAGTCAGATTTAAAGTGCCTGTGATGTAAAAATTTTCATGATTAAAAAAATTGTGTTTTTGGATAGATAACATTAACAACATACAAAAAAAAAAACATAAACTTACACTGCTGAGACAAACAGTTGTCGAGATATTAGCATGTGCCGTAACAGGAAGTGATGACAAAGGGGGAAGTCTGCATGTAAGCAGAACATTGCTTTCGTAGCTTACAACACATAATAAAGAAGAGCCAGATGTTTTTTTAGATTAGTTTAAGACACTCAAAGAGAACTGATAAAAGGGACAGAATTCAAACATTGCCCCGATAAAAACCAGTGAGTTCCGCTTTGACATCACTTCCTGTTACACTTTAGCTGTACTAAGTTCATCAATAAAATTGCCATTTAAGTGATAAACTGTGTAAAATCATTTTTCCACTTTTTGTAATTGTACAAAATGCATGTCGTAAGCACTTTAAACTCAAGTTAATCATTGGTGATAACCTTTCCACAGAAACCCACTTAAAAATTTTGAACTTTTATTTTACGTATATATTTGAAAAAGCTATTTGCACTTTTACAATCATTTTAAATATTCCATTTTCATCATAGATATTTTCTCATCTTCACAGCCATACATTGTATACTTTTCCCACCAACCCTGCGGTAACAGGCTTTCTCCTACAACACTGTGCATCTTTGCCAGAGTGGCGTTCTGCCAAGCGCTCTGGCAACAACTTGATTCAGTTTCAGCTTTCATACAAGCTGGCCACGCTAGGCTCATGTGTGGGATCACTGTCTGGCCACGGCTGCGTCTTCCAGGAGAGCTCTCATGTCCAACAATGCGTTCTCTACAGCCTGAGCGAAGTTGGCAGCGTTCGTCTCCTCACAGCTGTTGAAGGCTGTGATGGCCATGTTGATATGCTCATCCATGGGATTGTAACACACTCCGTAGCCATCTGGCACCACTGGGCCAAAACACATCACGCAGTCTGTCTTGGAGCCAACCTGGAGATTTTGCAGGAAAGCAAATGCGCATATAAATAAATAAGACTGTAAACAATCATTTGCTTAATGCTAATAGGCGGTTGTTGTTGTTGTTTTTTCTTTAGAGACAAATCTACCTGGCTGGTGGAGAGATTAAAATGATGAGCTACTGCAAAAGAAGTATCCATGAATATCCCAGGCATGGAGGTCAGGTCTTCAATACTCTGCATCTTCAGCCCGAGAAGGTGTCTATCTATGCCCTGCCCATGGATGGCCTAACAAAATGTTAAAGGTAACAGTACCAGATGGTTTAAGTTTGTTCTCGTAAAAAAGGAAACAAACAAAAACTCCAGTTCTTACATTGTATGTGTTCTCCTTATGTGTCTGAACAGCTTTCTGCAGCAGTGCCAGCGTCTCCGATTTCTGTTGGGAACATTTACTGCTCAGGATATAAACTTGCATTTAACAGCATTTGTTCATTATGCAGCCTGTGACGTTCACCAGTACCTGCTTCGTTGGGTCCTGCATCGCTTGGACAAACCTAAGAGAGTCAGCAGTAGTCGGACGAATTGCATCCGTTCTTCCGTATTTAAACATTCTCAGTGATGCGCTCTCATAGGCAGAGCAGCAAGTATTATACATCCTAAAATGCAAAAAAACAACATTGAATATTTGTATTATACTTTATGTCTCAGATTTGTTTCTTCCTGTGATGATGGGGGTGGGTAGTACCTGAAGTAGGCAAGCTGAAGAGCCATTTGCACAAAGGCATCTGGACTCAGCTTATGTTGCTTTGGCAAGTTTTTCCCAAAATGAGAAAACATGAGCACCTTCACATCCAAGTCCTGCATCATTCTATCAAAACCACAACAAAAACGAGAACGTTCAAACCAAATGTAGCATCAAAGACAGGAAACGAACATAAAGCTAAGCGCTGTACTTGCATGTTCATATTTTGTTTGGCTTTTTCGATATCTCTCTTGATCTCAGAGGTGATGTTGAATCGCAATTTCCTCGGCATGGCCAAGGGAACCATAGGAGAGCGGACTATTTCAGTACTCCTCCTGATATAAATATAAATAAATAAAAACACAAGCCGATGATTCAGCACAAGTTCATCCAAAAACAGGACAAGCAGATAAAAGAAGCATCTATCTAAATACTGAGGATAACTTACATGTACTTAACTACGTAATCGATGAGAAAGACAATGGGTGGACCCTCGGCAGGTGCATGTTCATACACCAGTCCACATGTACCGTCTTCACCAACAATGAACTGAGGACGATTTGCAAGTACATACAGATTCTCAACTGGTGCCAGAGTCCTTGCCTGGTATTTTAGATGTTAAGGCATTTCTCTCAAACTGACCTGTAAGGTTTTATCAAACCATCGGTTGCCGCTGTTCCACCGCGCTCCTCCCCCATGTAGAACCTGGGCAGCCCCGCGGCTCAGATATATCTCATCTGACACCTGAAGCATCGGAGCATCCAAACAAACTGTAAATATACTCTTCTGGATGGCACGGACCGACTCCTTGTTTGTCTTATCTGGGGGAACACAAATACGGTTAGGTTTGAATGTCGTCTCTCAAATATGCTGTAAAAGAAAAAAGAAAAAAAATATATGTTATTCCCTATCCTTTACTCACCTTTGATCAGATTGTTGTAGGCTTTTCCCCAGGTGTTGCGGTGCTGTGATGTAAGGATGCCAATTGGTTCTTTATTGGTTTGCAAAGAAGAGTTCCAGATCTTCTCTAACTGCATGTGAAGCTGATCTACTGTCAGCGGGGTGCTATCACTGTTGTAGACGTCCAAGACAAAGAACTGAGAGGGACAGAGCAAGTCCATTAAACCACAGATCTAATGTTACTTTAGCCAATGTACAACTGACAACAAAATTATTTAAAACCAACCACTATTAAAAGGAGACATATCATGCTTTTAAATCATTGTTTTTCACATTTATATCGTTCAGTTGGGTTCTGTATAAAGAGGAACTGCAATGCATTGGTCTGAATTGTAGCTCCACACCTGTTTTTTCTGAGGTGTGTCTCAAAGCAGCTTGTTTTAACGCGGCATCTTTAAATGCTAACGAGGTGCTTCGCATCCCACTCCCTTTACAGCTTCCAGAGTGGTCCATTGTACCTTGAAGGGTTTATGATAATATAGTGATGCAAAAATGTTTTATTTACAAATTAATTAAAAAGTGTCAACAAGGGACGACTTGTCCATCCAGCCTTATATGTTGGAGCCAGAGTCTGACCCAGAACCAGAGGAGAATGAAGACAACCAAATTGTAGATGGTAAGTCCAGACCTTATTTAGAAGTTCTGTTCCTTTTTTTTTTCATATTTTATGACTACTTTTAAATTCAAACAGATTAATATGCAAATTAATTTCTGAAAAAATTCCTAAGGAATCAAAATTGGTGTTTCATGACACACAGTTGCATCCTGACCCAAACTGTAGGAACCGTAGTCTAGTCCAGGGGTCACCAACATGGTGCCCACGGGCGAGCCTTTCTGAGTCGCCTGCAGGACACATTCTAAAAATAGCACTGATCGACTGACCGTCATAGAAGCAGCGCACTAAACGTTAAACAATGGAACCGAAAATCACCCGTGTGCTCTTTGAAACTTTTATTAACAAAACGCTTTTTAACGAATGTCAACAAGAGCTGCTGTTACAGTCACATCTCCCGTTATACCCCCGTTAAACACAACAAACTCTCAACAAGCTCTCTCCTGCGTCTCCCTCTCTGTCCTGCGGACTGCAGCTGCACACAGGCACACACTGAACTCCAACCCCCAACCCTTCGGAAAATTAACACTTAAGAGCACAGATATTCCATTTGTTTACCTCTGAAAAGAGCATTAAAACAAATTATTTTCACAATGATGGGGAGAATTTTTTTTCTGTACTTGTTTTTTTACATTACGTAAGAGATATTTTCTATATACAAGAGTTAGTAGGAATGATGAGCACAGAGGACATGAGTTAATAGTTTTACTGGTAGAAGTTTATTTTAAAAAATTAAAGAAGTTACCTTTTTCTTGAAGAAATAGACCACCTGTTTTTTTTAAACAGGTTCATTTTAAATAAATGTTACAAATGTGTTCATTCCTACAAGCTGTCAAATATTTTTATAATTTTATTTTTAACATTTACAAAATACACAAAATTATAAATGTTATTAAATGAGATTAAATAAAAATGTTTTATGTTTAAATTTGTGTTTTCTGCTATAAAAAATCAATCCCTTCTGTCCTCCTTGTTCCTAATCAGGGTCAGGGTGGGAGCTGGAGCCTCTCTCAGGTCTCAGACCATCACAGGAAACACAAACAACTATCCACACTCCGGTCACATTGAAGAGCTCAAAAAGGGTTTCAAAATGGGAACTCTGGAATCAGATCCCCCTGCTGCTGCACAGTGTTTAAATTACTTATTATTATTAATAATAATTTATCATATCTACCACAGTAAATTATGATTACCATGACGAGTCTTTAACATTGAGATTTAATCAAGGAGTCAAACGTATAAACATCTATAAATTTAATATAAATAATACTATAATTAAAGGGGAACCGTGCAAATTTATGTTTGTATCAAGTAGCCCTTCGTGTTACACGGTACCCCTGAAGTAGCTCCTAGTCCCGAAAAGTGTGGTGACCCCTGGTCTAGTCGATACACTGAAAATGCTGAAAGGGGAGCACTTCACTGCCCTGTAGCGTACCTGAAAGTTGTGGACCACAGTGATGTGAGTCGGGGGTGCATTCCCTTTGTTGTAATGTACAACAGTGTCTCTCTTCGGTCCGGGAATACGACAGGACGACAGAATCTGGTAATACTGGTCCATGCACAGCGGTTTCCCACTCAAATACTCCACAGGTAGAGTTTCACTGTGATGCAGAGGCATAACCAATCATTATTCAGCAGTTTTGAAAATCCAACCTCGTCACAACAATAATGACTTTTCTAATGCAGCAGCAGAATGTTTGAGCATATTTCAGGCAAACTTACGAGTCAATCATTTTTTTGAAGTCCAAAACTCCTGCAATCAGTTTGGCAGCAAACCTGCAGAACAGAAACTTTGATGTTACAGAAAAACTGCTGTTATTTTTTTTTTATAGAAGTGGACCACAGACATGATAAATTCCGATATCAGAAATCCAAAACTGAAAGGAGTCACTCACAACTTCATTTTATTCTAAATTACCAAATAATGCAAATGTACCCTAAAAGGTAAAGTACTGGCTTTAATACGAATTAGAATATTTGTAATTAAACAATCGTGGTTAGAAGTTTAAACTGTTAGAAATATATTGGCCACTATGTTTGCTGAGTTTCCCATTTGTCACAGTAGTTAAAAACAGCTGAGCAATGGTATGAGCAGCTAAACGGCTTTAAATAGCCAGCATGTGGGGAGAAGACTTGGCAAGAGTCAGCTTCAATCTCCAGGAGCCTGTTTATATTGTTCTTTCAACACAAATTACTTTAGGGGACCAACTTCATGACTCCACACTTAATTTTATTTGCATATGTTGGCAGTATTTGCATTCTGTGTATTAGGGTTGCACAGATGTGACTGGTTTTTACAGTATTTTCTCGATTTCTTACCTCATCTGTCCTTGGCGATCGTGAAAGTGCATTCGAGGCAACACAACTCCAGGGCTGGTGTAGACCGCAACTGGCATCCTGCAGTCTAGATACGCAGATTGCAGCCACCATTCTGTCAGCTGCACAGTCGTAGAGTTAGAAAACATTATGCGATTTATTAGAAAAAACAGAGATCTAATGCAATAAAAAGATCCAGATCACATCCATGTCATCTTGTCCAATTAGATTAAAAAAAACTTTAATCAAGACATTTACCCAGTTATCTGTTTTCCGTGCCCGTCTCTCCAGTCCTTTCTGGAGCCGGTCTCCCACTCCACCATTGAGGAACTCCTGAACCAGTTTCTTGGTGTGTTCAAGTTCTTCCTTGCTGACGATGGGCTCCAGAGCAGCCAGGTAGCGCTCACATGTTTGTCTCAAGGGTGGGACGGGTAACTTGGGCAGACCCTCCTGATGTGCAAAGGATCTCTCTGGGATCTGTGTGACCGGTCTGAGCAGACGGCATGGCTTTGTAATGCCTGGCCGCAGCTAAAACACACAAGAATAATTAACCTACATTTTTTTGATTACTGAGGGAGTGATCATATTTAAACTATGGTCAATGTTTGTATCTGATGTGCATGAGCAAAATGTACCAATGCAAATTATAAACAAGGTTAGGTGTCAACAGGTTTGTGCATGAGTTTCATCAAGGCTCAGAACACTAAATGCCTCAGAGCAAATAATTGGAAACAAAAAACGTGACTCAAAGTTGTGAACATCATTTTTAATTATTTAAAGTGTCATATACTTCATATGTCTGGTCTGTGAAAAGTGACACCGAGGCAACTCAATGAAGTGGTCGTGTTTGTTTGCAGCTTCTGGCTTAGCTTGTGAAAAGCCTATAAATAGATTATTGACAGTGAGGAACCTCAGGGGTGGTTGCTAAAACAAACATACAGGAAAGCCCAAAATCCACATACTCTGTCGTGTACATGTGGATTTTAATACGAAATTACTCCTTAATTTAATCATTTCAAAATGTGGCAACATGAAAATAAATATAGAATTGTCAATTTTTGATTTATTATTGTTGTAACTTAAGAATATTAACAGAATGCATGCAGGATCAATTAAACCTCAAAGATATTTAATTTCGGTCATATCCATGAAAACACAATATTAAACTTCCGGGGGGATTTTCAAAATAAAACTATTATGAACGTGTTTCGGGGTTTTATTGTCTTATATCGTTAATTGTTAATAAAAAAAATAAAAATTTGAGTAAAATTAATGAATGACACTTCATTAAATTAGAGAAGTTGCAACACTGTCATTCTCTGTGTCCTACTTAGCAACATGCGCATAAGCTATAAGGATTAAGCTAGTATTTACACAAAATGTCAATTTAACCAATTGCAAGAAATAATGCTCCCACAGCAGAAGACACATTTTACAGCCCGTAAAAACGAAACGTGAACTTTGTTTAGGCCCAGTCTGACACACTGTTGTTTTCCTGCGGCGTCCCCACCCCCCTCTTCACTGTTTGATTCCGTACGCACTAAAAACCTGCACACCATTTTAACGCAAGAAAGAAAAAATAAACTCACCAAGGCTCTGACAACACTCCTCAACAACATGTTGTCAGAAAGACGCGCTGAGGGCTTTGACTGTCCCGGGAAAATAGACGAAAAAGCCTGGGGCTGTCATATCTCAAGGACAGGACAGGCTCTGTCTATTCTCAGCTGTCCGGCCCCCCTCGTTCCAACAGAGGGCATCAATGCGTCAACACATCCGCCATGTTGGAACGGGACACATCGGACCTATACAATTATTAAAGCACAGAAGGATCTCTGCATTTACAAGATTTTCAAGTAGTATGACGTAAATATTTAATTTAAGTAAAAGTTCATTTTATTTCAAATTATTTATATGTAGCCTATCAGTGAACTGTGAAAAGTCACATGTTTTAAACTGCAATAATATTGCAAAACAAAATATAGACCTAGCTATTTTGTATGATCTTTTACATGATTAGATTTTTTTATAAATACTACCTGATCATTTAAATTTGTACAAAACATAAATGTTGTACCTGAAGTAAGAAAAATATAAAAACGTGTAAACAAATAAAACAGTCATTAATATTTCATTTGCTTTAAAAAGCAATATAAGGTGTATTATTTAGTACAATAGCTATAATTTAGAATATATCATCGCACAGCACAATAAAACATTGAACAATGAAGAAGCCTAATAAAAATAGCAATTATCTAAAAGCTCAGATCACCAATAATAAACCAAATTTAAATATGACATAAATGAAAAAAAAAACATACTGGTGTACATCCAGTTAAGCTGAAAACAAATCTGTCAAACTCTATTAAACACCACCTCATTGAGGTGTTTTAAATGATAACCTGAATGAGTCAGAACCTGCCCCCTGTTGTTCAGATGAGAGTATTGCTGATGGAGGCTGTTGTCACCCTCCACCACCCTTCATATGGACATGTTTCAAAGCATGGACATGCCCCACACAAGATGAGGTGGAGTTAGGATGTTAGACATCTTGAGATGAGTTAAAAGTTTGCTTAGATGGGAAAAAAATAAATAAATAAAATAATAATAATGAATAAACATTAACCAGTGATCGCACACTGATCATTTCTGAGGACCAAAGATCACCAGACAGTGGAGACAGAGAATCCAGTGAGTGTCACAGCAGAAATGAACCCCACGGCCACCACCCCACGCAGAGAAGAAGATAAGTTTGTGAATGACTTAAAACAAAACCTATTCAACTTCAATTGCAAGTGGGACGTATGTAATAATTATTGGGGGAAAAAACGCACCTCCTCATTTTTGAGATTCTTCTAAAACTGACAGATTAAAGGGGACATTTGATGGTGTTGTCATTTTCACAACACCATCAAATGTCTGCAGTCACAACAACAATTTTATTTAAAACCAGGTGGTTTTGTCAAAGTTAACAAAAATCATTTCTCATCAATCCAGTTTGAAATTGTGTGATTTCTAAATACGATTTTGATATTTTTGTCTATGAAAGAGACATGCATTTTTTTTAGCTTACAGCTTATAGCTAAGGTGACTTTTGCTGTCTGTATTGCAGCACAGGTAAGAAGGGTCATTCAGACACTTGCCTACATGTACCCATCCCACCTCTTAGTGTCATGGTTTACCAAAGGATGGTATGAAAAGAGCTCAAGAATAAAGTATTATTGTCGATATTCAGACAAATCAGTTTGGGATTCTGACAGCTTTGTTCAGCCAAAACTTTTTTTAAATAAAATGCTGAATATGTGCTGGTTGTTGACTGACCAAACTAAGTCTGGTTTCTCTAAATTAAACCTTAAGTCTTTCAAGCTGTGCTGTACCTCTGATGATCTCATTCATCCTATCCATCCTTGTCACTCCCAAGGAGAACCTCAACGTCTTCATCTGCCACTTCCAGTTTTGTCGTTTAGTCATGACCACTGTCTTTGTCTCGTACTCTTTTGTAAACCTTTCCTTTGATCTTTACTGCCACCCTGTTGTCACAAATCGCTCCAAAAACGTTTCTTCATTCTGCCTGGACTCTCTTCCTTACCTCTACCACCCTCCCTGTTTTCCTACTTGAAGTCCTGCATCTTTGTGACCGCTTCTCCTGGCCTCATCATTCACCTGCCTCCCTCTGACTCATGCACATAGTGCCGCTTCTTTCATTGCTCTTCTTTCCAGTGCATACCTCCACCTCCCCAAGTTCTCCAGTGCATAAAATCTTATTTAGGTCTGATCGAACAAAAAAATCTCAAGGCTTAGCATGTGTAATTGGTATAGACAAAAGCTCACAGCCTTAATGAAAAGCGTTGTTCACACATTCCTAAACATGAGTTATTCTCACCTCCTAACCTTCCACACCTCTTTTTTTTTTTACCACCAATATTTCCGTTCACTTGAGCAACATTGATCAGGTGCTATGTTAATGAGTGAGTTTCTTTGAGCAGTCCTTAAAAGTGATTAACAGTGTTCACCCAGTACCTCCCCTAATGAAGGGCAAGCCATTTCCACAGCACAAGCATTCAGTCAGCCTCAAAACAGCTCTGGAGAACTCCCCCCATGTAGTGGGACATGACACGTGACAGGAGTGCATCTTGCAATTTGAGATAATAATCTCACGAAGTACTTTTAATCTCATGCAACATGCTTACATTTGTAACGTGATACTGTATGTGCATGCAATATATTACATTGTGGTATAGATTTGTGATGCACTGAGTGGCTATATTTTTTCCCCCCATTGGGAGCAGATATTTTAGTCTACGAGTTAACCCTTCCAACATGGCGGCGCTGTTGACGTGCGGAACTTGGGGCGCTTTTGGGGAAGGGGGAGGGGCTGATCTTGATGGGGCAACTTGTAAAGACTTATCAGCAGAGTCCTCCAA